CCAGTGGTTTGGGTTTTTTTGAGTTTGTTCTCTGTAATACTGTATTTCTATTTTAATTTCCCTAGTAAAGAACTGTTATTCCTATTCCCATATCTTTGCCTGACAGCACCTTAATTTCAAAATTACAATAATTTGAAGGGAGGGGGTTTACATCCTCCATTTCAAGAAAGGCTCCTGCCTTTCTTGGCAGACACCTGTCTTTCAAACCAAGACAACTATCAAAGAAGTTTTTATCATACACAAGTGATGTCTATGATAAAAGTGATTATCATCCCAGTGAATGCCAGGAGTGGTGGAATGCTGGAGCAAAAGGCGCTGCCACCACCTCTGGGTGTACCCCAAGTGAGTCCCAATGAGTTGTTCTGCTGGAGGAAGTGGCAGCTCTGAAATTTGGGGCATTCCCAGCTCCTGGCTGCTAACAGGGGGTTTCAGACAGATGTGGAGGAAAGTCTGAACTCTGTGTTGAATGCAGAATACAGGAAAAGGGAAATAATGGGAAAATCTTTCTGAAGTCCAACAGGCAGCAAGAACAGAGACTTAGACCAGCAGGACTCCTCCACCCCAGATCAGGTCCCTCTGATGCTTCCCTGGACTGCAGCCCAGACTCAACTCCAGCAGGGCCCAGAGCTGGGTCTCCACTCATGCAGAGGCCCTGGGATTCAAACCCTGGTGACTCCCTGGTGGCTCACCTGAGGTTGCCCTTGTTGGTGGCGTACTTGATGTGGTTGCAGATGTAATTGAACATCCCATGGGCCGTGGTGCAGTCCCGGGCATCGAACACCTGAAACAGGGAAGCAGCTGTGGGGATGTTCCAGCTCCTAGGGCAGAGCCAGGCAGAGGAAACACAGCACATGGAGAACTCCAGGCACCACTGTGGCTTCTCAGGGATCTAAAGCTCCATAATTATGTGTTCCCTGCCTTTGGAACACGTGGATGTGTATTCCAGCTGCCCCTTTTGCTTTGGAGAGGTGACTCATCTGCTGCTCAGGCAAAAACCTCCTCATTCCCGTGCTCCCAACCTGCTGCTGTTCCTGCCTCACCCCCCAACAATTACAGATTCTGCTCTGCTTCTCTTGTAGATCAGCACTCAGAGCTGGAACAGAAGAGGTGTCAGTCAGGTCTGAGAGACAGGGAATCATGGAATTATGGAATCATGGAACTGTGGAATGGTTTGGGTTGGGGCTTTTAAAGAGCATCTCATCCCACCCCCTGCCCATGGCAGGGACATCTTGCACAATCTCAGGTTGCTCCAAGGCCCATCCATCCTGGCCTTGGATACTTCCAGGGATGGGGCATCCATGAAAGCATTGAGAAATCAGGAAGGGGGATCAACAGGAGTGGCTGTGCCCTTTCCCTGTGTGAAGCAGCCACAGGAACTGCTCAGCAGCACTGGATTTGTTCCAGGCTGCAGGAGGAGAGGACATCACTGTACCAAGGGATTCCCTAGGGATCACTGATTTCCAATCCTGTTCTGTGTTTCCCTTGCCAAAAGGGCACTGAGCCAAATCCTCTCGTGCTGGATCTCAGTACTGAGGACAAATGTGTCCTGCTGCCTCTCTCCAGGTGGGGCAACAGCTTTGGAAGCAGCAGGAAAGATGCTGGAGCAGGACCTGATTTTGGAAAACGTGCCCTGGAGCACCAGCTTCCATTTCAGACACAGCCACCTCATCTCCCACCCCCCAGACACTTTTCCAGCTCCTGCCAACTTCCCAAAGCTTCTGAGAGGAGCTGTGCGTGCTGCACACCTGCCCCTGGACCTGTGCTGTGCTTCCCAGGTGCTGCAGAGCAGGATTTACCTCTCCAAAACCCCAGCACACCCTTTGGCAGGAATCTCCTGGGTGTTTCTGGTGGGGTCGGTGCTCACCTGCAGCTTGGACCACTGGATCCTGCCCACGCAGCGAGCCGCGTTCCTCCAGGCGTGCTTGGCCCCGTAGATCAGCTCCGTGTCCCGCAGCTGGTAGGTGTCAGTGGCCTCAATCTCCTTGGTCACCTCCTCCAGCCTCTCCATGTGGGCCTTGGAGCCGGATCTGGGAAGGTTGGGAGCAGAGGAGGTGGAGGGTCAGGCAGAGGGCAGGGAATGCTGCTGCTCCCCGCCTGGAATTCCGTGTTCCAACACACACACAGGGATTGTGGGAGGGTTATCCCAGCTTTGGGATAACAAGTAAGTAAGGACCATGGGGAGAGGGCAGTGACTTGTGCAGAGACACAACAAACACCAGGAATTAACTCCACTCAGGAAGCAGCTGCTGATGGAGCACCAGAGTCTCCCCCTGCTGTGACTTGGTGGGAGATCAGATCATGCAATCATGGAATGGCTTGGGTTGGAAAGGACCTTAAAGCTCATCCCATTCCACCCCCTGCCACCACAGGGACACCTTCCTCTATCCCAGGCTGCTCCAAGCCCTGTCCAACTTGGCCTTGGACATTTCCAGGGATCCAGGGACAGCCACAGCTGCTCTGGGCACCCTGTGCCAGGGCCTGCCCACCCTCCCAGGGAACAATTCCTTCCCAATATCCCATCCAGCCCTGCCCTCTGACAGTTTGAATCCATCCCCCTTATCCTGTCCCTCCAGGCCCTTGCCTCTCTCCAAGTTTCTTTTTGCCTCCTTCAGGCACTGGAAGGCCACAATTGGGTCACCCCAACGCTTCTCCTCTCCAGGATGACCAATCCCAACTCTCTCATCCTTTCCTCCCAGCAGAGCTGCTCCATCCCTCTGATCATCCTGGTGCCTCCTCTGGCTCCAGCAGCTCCAGGTCCTCCCTGGGCTGGAGCCCTGCAGGTGACACGTGTGACATCTTGGCAGCAGCAGCAGCCTGCGGCCCTGCAGGCAGCACTCACCTCTTTATGGAGGAGTAGTACTGGTCAATGAAGTCCTTGGCCAGGAGCAGCACCTCCTCCTTGGTCCTGGTGTCCTCTGCCTTGCGGATGTGGGGGCTGGGGGTCATCACGGAGCCCATGCAGATCTGCTCCGTGCATGCCGTGGCCTGAGGGGACAGCAGGGACAGGAATGGTCTGGAGCCACTTTGGTCACCTGAGCTGGGCTGGGACAGGCAGTGACCACCTACACAGAGGGTGGTGTGACAAACAGGGACATTCCCAGCTGGCTGGGGACACTGTGGGATGACACAGGCCATGTGCAGTCACCTCTTGATCCAGACAATCAGAGAGATGGGATTCACCCCCCAGCCTGGCACGAAGTCAAATGCTTTCCCTTATTTATCCCAGATGGATTCCCCTCTCTCTCTGCTCATTGAACCAGATTTGAAATTCAAACCCTCCTGGAGACAAGACTGAATTCCTCCACTCCTGCATTCCCAGGTAAATCCATCATGGAAACGGTGCCCTCCACTCCACGATGCTCAGGGAATTTTGGCCAGTCCTACCAGCCCTACTCACCATGGCAGTCTTGAGGTGCAGGGTGTCGTGGAGCACGGAGCCCGTCTCCCAGTTCTTGATTTTCACGAACCGGGGGCATTTGGAAGGGCTCCCATTGAGGGGGTTCTTGGTCGGGGACTGGCGCCCAGATGGTGGTGGCTGGAAAAGAGGGAATACAAGGTCAGAACTCATCAGCAAAATACAGGAAAAGGTCCCAACAACACAGGATCATGTATGGGGGGACGCCTGTGTTTAAATTCCATGGTCAGACAAGGTGTATTATCCCAATATTTGGCATTATTTGATATTCTCCAACAGAGAAGCCAACTCGTAATGGAATAAAGAAGCTGTGTCTGGTTATGGGACAAACGTGTAGAAAATGAGTTAAAAACAGAGGTGGAAGTGACTTGGAGAATGTTGTGTTCAAGTTTCCCAGAGGAAGACTCTCCTCCAAAATCTGTGAGACGTTTCTTTCCAAGGAGCATCACCTGCTCAGGTTGTGCAGGTGCCAAGCTCTGCCTCGCTGGGGACACAGAGCTGAGAGCTGAGCATCCATCTGAGCAAGCCAAAGGCACAGCTCCTTTGATATTAATGCTGGAGAGGTTGTAGGAATGAGGATGGAGAAATTATCCAAGTGGGAGGGCTGCTGAATCATGAGTAGTTGGATTTCTCCAGCCTCAGCTCCCTGACACTGTGCCCTGGGATGAGCTCACCCAGCTCTCCTTGAGTTCTGTGCCAGCACGGGGAGAGTCTCAGCCAGCACGGAGCTTGTGAGGAAGGGAACTGGTTACAGGTGCTTCTTTTTGCACATTCTCACAGATAAAATCGCAATTTTCTGCTGTGGCCCTTACTCAGCCCAAGCACTTAAAGCTTAAAGTGTCTGCCAGTGGGGACAGGGGACTCTGCAGTGGCTCTGGGAAGCAGAGCTCTGTCTCCCAGGAATCCGATCTTACTCAGGGATGTAATTCCATCACTGGAACCACGGCGCTGTTGCTGCAGCTCTCCAGGGGACATCTGAGAGCGTCCTGGCCAAAGCTGCTTGTGTTTGGCACCACTTCAAGGCTCTGCACAGCAGATCTGGGCTTGGACTGTCCCTTCCTACAAGAATCCTGGGGCTGGTGTCCCTTTTGAATTAATCTGGTTTTCTTGGAGCTGGCACTGCCTTCAGACGAGTGTCCCCCTCCTTTCTGGGGGTCCTGGGCTCATGTCCCCATTGCAGAGGGGCGGCAGCAGCACAGATTCAGCCTGAGGCAAAGATCCTGCACAGGGTGGGAGAAGCTCCTGGTCCAGGAGGGGAAGCAGCAGGAGCCACAGGGATGAGAAAGCAGCTCAGGCTCCAGGTCGGACTGGTTCCCACCTCACCAGAGGATTGCTCTGCTTTTCCAAAGCTCCGAGAGATCAGTGCCTGGCTCATTCCAGGGATGATGCCTGGGCTGAGCAGACACCTTTGCATTGTCCTGCCAGCAGTGCTGGCCAGACTTTTTGCTCAGTTCTTGGTTTTACCACAAACTCCAGACATTTTTCCTCTGGAAAACAGGGATTTCAAGCAGCCTGAGGCTTGCAGTATAATACCACTCTCTGAAAACATATTCTGGGAACAAGGGACAGAGGCTGGAGGGGAAGGTACAGATTTACAGCCAAGGACCTTCTTTAGTCCTTGCAGTTTCCAAAAACTGCTCCCTGCACCCCCCAGGCTGTGCTGCTGATCTCTGACATTCCTCATGTTACAAATCCCATGATTTTCCCAAGGAGTGTGTCAAAGTCTACCCCTTGAAGCCAAATGTCCACACACCACATCTCAGCCTCCCCTCTGCATGCTGCAGAAACCAAATAAAAAACTTCATGTAGAGCTCAAACCCAGCAGCAAACAAAAAGAACCTCCTCGATGTAGTCCTGGAAAAACACTATTTTAAAGCTTATTTTTTTCCATTTTGAGGAATCCAACCTAAATCATGGCAATGGCAGCTCCTGGTCATTTTTCTCCCTGCTTGTTTTACTCTTCCAAGAGAATGAAATCATTCTTTGGCCACCAACAGCGTCCTGTGCTCCCTGACCCACTCTGAGCACCAAATCTGCCACCTTCCCTCTGAGCCTGATTGCTCAGAGCAGCTCTCTGAGACGGGCAAAACGTGCTGAAAACAGCTCAGAAATGCAACCAAAACCAATCCTCACCTGCAGCTCCACCTGCCAGACAGAAACTGGGAGCACCAGGCAGGGAGTGTTGATTATATCCAGCACTTTTTAATCGGAGTTTTGATCTCCTGACAAGGTGTGCTGCTAAAACACTTCTTGCTGGAGCAGGTATGGCTCCAAAACGTGCTGGGAATGCAGATGTAGCAATGTCCCCATCCTCAGAGCAGGTGGGGGGATGCTGGCTGCTTACCTGCCTGCAGATTTTCTGCCTCAAACCCCCTCAAAGCTGCTCCCTTCCCCATTTTTGTCTTTTCCCTTCAGGAACTGGGTGAGCTGGAACCTTGGAATGACACAGTCATTAAAGTTGGGGAAGATCTCCAAGATGGTTGATCCCAAGCTCTGAGTGAGCACCAAGCTGTCAGCCAGAGCAGAGCACTGAGGGTCATTCCTTGGACACTTCAAGGGATTAATGGGACCCCATTAATCTGTCCCAGTGCCTGACAACCCTTGCTGGGAGAGGGATGCTGAATCCTGGGATGCTGATCTCACAGTGAACAGTTCCTGTGGGGCATCAGCACCAGCTCAGAGGGTTTTGTGTGTCCCCCATGGGTCTCTGACACTGCAAAAGTGCATGGGAACATCATTCCATGCAGGACTGCCAGGAGAAAAGAATCCAGCCCTGGGGCCCAGCACAGGAAGGACCTGGAGCTGCTGGAGAGAGTCCAGAGGAGCCCACGGAGATGCTCCAAGGGATGGAGCCAGGCTGGGAGAGCTGAGGGTGCTAACCTGGAGAGGAGAAGGATCCAGGGAGAGCTCAGAGCCCCTTCCAGGGCCTAAAGGGGCTCCAGGAGAGCTGGAGAGGGACTGGGGACAAGGGATGGAGGGACAGGACACAGGGAATGGCTTCCACTGCCAGAGGGCAGGGCTGGATGGGATATTGGGAAGGAATTGTTCCCTGGGAGGTCAGTGACACGTTCCAGGTCCCACAATCACATCCCAGAGCAGCCGTGGAGAGCCGGAACGCGGAGGAGCCGTGTGTGAGTTTGTGTGTGTGTGTGTGTGCGCCTTCCCTGCACGCCGAAACGGGAGCCAAATATTCCCCGCCGCTGTGCCAGGGATGCTGCGTGAGATCTTTTCATGTTTTAATGAGGCAGCTGGGATCTCGGTGACTCAGGAGAGGGACAAGCCGAGCGACAACTGCGGCAGCCGGGGCGCACACGCGTTATGCAAACAGCTTTTAGCGAGGGTGTGCCGGCACTTGGCGGCTCCGGAGCTGTCTGCTCCTGCAGGAACAGCACACCCGGCCCTCCTGGGCTCCTTGGGGACACGGTGACAGCGGACATCTCCCGCTCGGGGCTCCGCAGGTCCTCACCCTGCCGTGGGAGCGCTCGGTGAGTCCCACCGGCAGCAGCAGCAGCAGCAGCCAGGTCGTGGATTTATTCCCGTGCTGACATTTCCTTCCAGACCGCACCAACCCCAGAGTGTGTCCTTTGCCTTTGGGCTGCTGCAAATCAGCCTCACAAGCTGCTCTGAGCCGCGTCCCCTGAGAGCTACCCGGGCACAGAGCTGCTCACAAACCAGACCCTGGAGGGCTGAAACACGACCTGGCACAGCCACGGCATCCTCAGGGTTAGGGCCAGGGGGATTGGGCTCCTGGGAAACCAGCGAAAAGCACGGTGTGGTTTTGTAAAAAATAACAGAGGCATGGGGATCGATGCCCAGCGGGGCTTTCAGCACCTTATTACGAGCCTCAGTGAGCATTCGCCACCTGGCCAAGTGAATCCACCCGATCCTGCTCGGAAAAAACCGAGGAAAGTTCCCACTTGGCTTGACTTTCCCCTGTGTTAATAATATTTATTGCTGCTTGAAAGAAGTTCAGCTGTCTTGGCTGCACACAGCCCCGGGGAACGGCTGGGGGAGAAGCCAGACTGCTTCCAGAAAAGCAGGCGTAAGGATTCGGGGATAAGAAGGATAAAAAGAAAGCTGTGCATCCAGTGAAAAAAAAATAATAATAAAGAGTTTAATAGCAGCTTAAGACTGGCGGTTTTGGCAGCCCCAGCATAGAGAGAAATTAAGCTCTGCACACAGAAGGTTATAAAGTGCTTAAAGTAACAGACACGGACACACACGGGGCTTAGCAAAGGAGGCAGGGACACAGAGTCTGTCCAGAGCTGGGGCAAAGGGAGAGCAGCACTGACCCACCCTGGGCTCAGGATCCCTGTTCCAGGGCATTATCCATGTGCTGGGATGTGGGAGAGCAGCACTGACCCACCCTGGGCTCAGGATCCCTGCCCCAGGGCATTATCCATGTGCTGGGATGTGGGAGAGCAGCTCTGACCCATCCTGGGCTCAGGATCCCTGCCCCAGGGCATTATCCATGTGCTGGAGCTGCCCAGGGCCATCCCCAGTGGCTGCTGCAGCTCAGGGGTGCTGCCACTCACCTGTGCCCATGCCGGGGACACCTCCCCGAGGCTGCCAGGACACCTGGCCCTGGTCCTGAGGTGAGGGAGGGTGGAAATGGATCCCAGCTTCACCTCAGCACCTGGCCAGGCTGGTTCCAGCCCTGCAGAGTGGTCAGGACTATCCCAGTGTCCTGTGTGAGCATCAGCACGGGGACACTTGAACACTTCCAAGTGTGTCCCTGTGTGACCAAGTGTGTTCCAGGTGTGCCCCCCATGGATCTCTGATACTGCAAAAGTGCATGGGAACAAAATTCCATGCAGAATTGCCAGGAGAAAAGCATCCAGCCCTGGGGCCCAGCACAGGAAGGACCTGGAGCTGCTGGAGAGAGTCCAGAGGAGCCCACAGAGATGCTCCAAGGGATGGAGCCAGGCTGGAAGAGCTGGGGGTGCTCACCTGGAGAGGAGAAGGATCCAGGGAGAGCTCAGAGCCCCTGCCAGGGCCTGAAGGGGCTCCAGGAGAGCTGGAGAGGGACTGGGGACAAGGGATGGAGGGACAGGACACAAGGAATGGCTTCCCACTGCCAGAGGGCAGGGCTGGATGGGATATTGGGAAGGAATTGTTCCCTGGCAGGGTGGGCAGGCCCTGGCACAGGGTGCCCAGAGCAGCTGTGGCTGCCCCTGGATCCCTGGAAGTGTCCCAGGCCAGGCTGGACAGGGCTGGGAGCAGCCTGGGACAGTGGAAGGTGTCCTTGGCCAGGGCAGGGAGGTGATCTCCTGTCTGGTCCCCCAGGTCCTGCCCTGGATAATCCCATCAGGGAGACCCTTCTGCCCAAGCACTGGCAGAGCTCAGGCACATCATGTTTTCCCTGAGGTGATCTTGGTGGCCTGGCAGGGTCTGCCTGACGTCTCTGGCTCGGCTACAAACGTGGAGTTAATCTCCTTTTGGCAAGGGAGCCTGAGAGTTCATGGCTGTGGAGTGTGAGGAGATGAAAAGGCACCGTGGAATGCTTTATGTGAAGTGCTCTATTGAGTTACCATCAGATGAATCCAAACGACTTTAATGATGCAGCCTGGCCTTGTGCCACCAAAAGGGATCACATTCCCCAGGGAGGCCTCAGCCTCCTGCTCCTGGCTGGGCTCCCATGCCATGTCAGCCCTTGCATGAGGAGCATCATTCTCCAGGGACCTCCCTTCCCTGAACCACGGCCACTTCAGCTCCTGGCCCCAATGGGCTCTGGGGTCCATCACCTCCAGCTTTTGGGATCAAATACACATTGTCCCTGCAGGTTCTTTGTGCTGTGACAACCCACCAGGATGGGTCACATTCCCACAAATCCCGGGAATTTGGGTTTTCCCACCCCAAGCAGCCCCAGCCATGGGCTCTTACCTGTTCTGCTTCGGAGTAGGGGTTGTTCAGGACCACGGGGACGCTGCTCTTCTCCCACAGGTCCCCCAGGACACGATCGTTCTCCATCCGAGCTGGCAAAGCTTTCTGGGGATTGTTCTCCCCTTCCCTGAAACTGAAGGGTTAAAAATCACGTGGGTGCCTGGGTGCTGGGACCATGGGCACAGGTCCTGCTCCAGCTGATTCCCACAGGAGCCAAAACTTGGCTGCTGTCCTGCGGGAAGGAAGGAAAGGCTGAGCCTCGGCCAAAGCCATGAATCACCGAGCTGAGGACAACCCAAACACAATGGAAATTCCACCTCAGAGCCACAGGAAAGCCCTGTCCCCACACTGGCCCTACAACAGAGCTCTACACCCCAAAACCTGAGCTGGAACCCCGGGAAAATAAGCACGGGGATGGGAAAAAGGAGGCTGGAAAAGCTCGAGGCAGACGGAGTTTGCAGAGCAGCTCGGTGCTCATGAGCAGGGAAGAGGAAAAAAAACCACCCAGAACAAGCAGGAGATTCCCAGGAGCTCTCTCTCTTCTCCCTGACCTTTCCAGATGCTGTGAGTGGAAGTGATTTCAGCCAAGAAAACCCTGGAATTGCTGGGGGTGAGGGGAAGGGACCAAGGACATGCCAGCGCTGGCCCATGCGGTGACACCAGAGTAACTCAGGTGTCACTCACTCCCCACACACATTCTGGGCGGTGGGAGAGGCTCTGAAATGCCACCTGAGCAGCAAAACCTCTGCCACGTGAGCCCTCACCAAGGAAAAACCAACAGGGTTGAGAGATGTGACATTCAGACAGGCAGGAGGTGGCACCTGTGTCACCGCAGAGGGAAGGGTTGGGCAGAGCAGGGGCACGGTCAGGACGGGCACAGGCACTGAAGAAATGCCCTCTGGAATTGTTCTGCTCCTGCTGTCAGTCCTTAAAAGTCTTCCAGATGCCACTGAATCAATAATGAGACTTCTCATTAACGGCGGCAGGCTTTGGGCACTGACCAAAGTAGGACACTTGCACTCAAGCCATAAATCACACCAACAGGATGCTCTTGATTCAATTTCAGCAAGACAAATAAATACAAATAAATTCGGTTTCACAGTCCTTGAACTCCTTTAGCTTAAGGAAAAGACTTCATTTAAAGAGCATAGCATCTCTCCATGCTTTTTCTGTCATTTTTCTGCTTTCACAGAGCCATGCTCAGCTGCCAAAATATTTCCCTGGGCTCTGGCCACCTTCCAAACACTGGAAAGTGGCCACCTTGGTGCAAATGAGGAGGCCCAGGTGCCTAAGGGCTGTTTTTCCCGGGATTTCTGTGTCCCTCCAGGCCATGAAAGCTGTTCCCTGGTGACCTGGCTCCTGGAGGATGTGAAAGGGTTTCAATCAGATAAAACACAAGAAACCCCACCCGCAGCACCTCAGCCAAAACCACAGATCCCAATCTCTGCTGCAGGTGGTGGTGATCCACACAGATCCCAGAATCCACACGGATCCACACAGATCCTGGGGACAGGGACAACCATGAGCCACAATCCCACCGTGCCCAGCCCAAAGGGCAAGCTCAGGGTCTCCTGGCCAGTCTCCATCCCAGTAATCCCCAGGCAGGGAATTAGCAGGATGACACTGCAGCCGAGCTGGCTGTCCCCTCAGAGCGAGCCCAGCTGGTAAATGTCCCAGAGAACTCTCATTTCCAGGGCTGCACATCCCTGCCCTCCTGCCCTGACCCCCATCGAGCCAGGGGACACAGAGCCAGGTCAGCACAGGGCCACCAAGCTGGGGAAGTCACCTCCAGCAGCCACCAAGCCCCAGCTGCTGCTCCTCCCAATGCCCAAAATCAAGACAGAAGCACTGAATCCATAAGGAAGACATCCTGGAACTTGGGACACAGCAGAGGGAACCCACTGGAAAACCATGGGGCCTCTCCAGGAGAAGTTTGGGGTCAGCCAGAGATCCCACAGGTGCCTCCAAAAGGATGCTGCTCCCAGAGAAGTGTCTGCAGGGCCAGCACGGGGGAAGCTGGGAGAGGGATCCATCCATCAGCAGCAGCAGCTGGAGAGCTTGGAATGTGGGATCTCATTGTGTGCACAGCAGCAAAGCCATAAATGTTGGCAGCTGGAGAAATCCCAGAGGTGGAATTAAATTGGGTATTAATTAGGGTGTTTTGGGAATTACAGGTCCTGCTGGAGCAGGGATTGCTCCCATTCCTTAGCCTTGAGCACCACCTGACAGTGTCCTGAGGGACAGGGACATCCAGCTGGGAATGACCTGGCTGCTCCACATCTCTTGCATGTCTGCAGGTGTGGCAGGAGCAGCATTCGTGCTGCTGTTCCCTATGGATTTATGGCTGCATGAGCACGGCTGTGAGGGGCTGACCCTGCTGGAAAAGCTGGAAAAAGCTCTTCTGGAAAAGCACAGTCAAGCGTGGCTGTGACAAAGCCACCAGAGTGACCTGGGGGTGTTCCTGGTGCTGTGCCTGGCCAGGGGCTGCCCTGAGCCAGTGCAGACCTCCCCCGGATGAGGCTGCCCAGAAGGATCCGGCTCTGTCTTTTTGGAGACAGGCAGGGAGAGAAAAGCCCATTCAGAGCAGCCAGAGCCTCACCCCAGTCCGAGCACAGATGGGGGAATAAAAATAAAAACCATCAATTGCTTCATTTTACAAATATTTCCTGCCCCTTGCTTGTGAGGGCCTTGTTTGCGAGCTGGGACAGGAACAGGATTTTTGGGATGAGTTATTTTCCTCTCTGGCCGTGGCTGCTCCAGCCCCCAGGGGCACAGGGTGTGCTGGCATAGCGAGGATGTCACTCACAGCTCGGGGAGGCTGAGGGGACAGCCACAACACCACGTCCCAGCTCAGCCCCTGGATAATGATCCCAAAAGGATTTTATCAACAGGAGAGCCCAAAGGGTTGGCACTGGAGAGGGCACAGCTCCCTCGAGGGAGCCTGGTTGGACATCCCTGGGATCTGCCTTGGGAGAGCCACACGGAGAGAGGAGCTGGCTCCTCTTTTTGGAGAACTCCAGGCAGGCTGGACAGGGCTTGGAGCAGCCTGGGACAGTGAAAGGTGTCCCTGCCCATGGCAGGGGTGGAACAGGATGAGCTTTAAGGTCTTCTCCAATCCAAACCATCCCATGAGATATTTTTAATCCCCACTTCGATGTCTTTGAGGAGCTGGAAGCAATGCTGAAGATGGAGGCCATTGGTTGGATGAACTCTCCCAAAATCCAGATCCAGGTATCCCTCTCTGACCACTCCCAGATCCACTACACACTCTTAGCCAGATCTCTTGGATCCAGAGAGGTCCAGACCCCTGTTTGAGGAGTTTTTCTGTTCTGAAATCCAAATTTGATACTTTAAAAAGGAAAGAGGAATCCTGCCCTCCCCCACTGGTGCCAGGCAGAGCCTGGGATGCTGCCTCCCCTTGGAAAGAGCATCTGGCTGTTTGGAGAAATGAGAGGCACCACTGTTTTCTTTTGACTAATTTGATGATGTTGCAGTGCTCCGAGTGATGAAGCAGCAGGGAAGTTGCTGAGACAGCCCTTTCAGAAATTTCTCCAAAGCTTTTCCAAAAAGAAATTAAAGGGGAAAAAAAAAAAAGAGCAAAAGGGAAGTTTGTCAGTTTGTCACTCGGCTCCTTTGAATTTCCTTGGCACAAGGATCTCTCTGACTTCCCAGGCAGAGAGCAGAGACAGCCCTGGCTGCTGCCATCCCACTTTGGATGGATGATAAGGATGGCAGTGCCCACACCTCGGGTGGCAGCTCTGGTGACACTGATAACATCATTTCTTCCTTCCAGGCCCTTCTCCTGGAATTCCTGAGCCTGGGGCTGTGTGGGAAGCTCACACCTCGGGAGAGAAATCCCTTCCTCTTACCTCATTCCCTGACTTTTCCTTGGGAATGGCTACACTTGCAGTGCTCCTCCTTCCAGTGCTTGGGGCTGGGATAAGCAGCTCTTGCTTATCTCTATTATCCCTGTTATCTCTCTCTTATCTATCTTATCTTAGCTCTTGCTTGCTAAGATTGCTGGGATGAGCAGCTCTTGCCTAACCTTTCTTTTGCCCCATGGAAAACCACATTCCAGAGGGCATGGCATCCTCAGAAATTAAAATTCCTGTGCTTCCTTCCCTGAGGCAGTTGGATAAAAAAACGTGCTGGCTGCAGGCTGGAGGGTTCAGCAAGGTCTGACAACAGCAGAGGGAGAGGGATGGGGCAGGAGGAGGAATTTGTGCAGAGGATGGAGCAGAGCTCAGGAAGGAAGCAGGAATTTTGAAGAAGGAATCATTCCAAAAGCTGGGATGCACTCCCTGGAGTGTGCCCAAGGTGGGAACTGCAGGGTGATCAAAGCAAGGAACAAATGGGAGAGGGGACGTGGGTCAGCATGGAAGGTGGAGCACGAGAAGAACCTGTGGAACGATCTGGAGAAGAAAGTCAGGAATGTGCCCAGCACTGGGATCAGGGACTAATGAGCCGAGCAAGCTGTGGCCTCGAGGAGTCTGTGAAATATGAGGCTGGAAAATGCCTTTGAGGAGGCACTGACACATAAAGACCTGGGAACAGATCCAAGCAGTCCCAAAATCCCACCAGCACAGCTCAAAATTCAACCAGCAGCGAGCTGCAACCCCTGCTCCTGTCCCCTCCCAGCCACTCCCAACGAGCACCTGCAGGATTCCAGGGGATTCCTGAAGAAAACACAGCTCAGGAGTGCTGGAATCACACATGGAATTCCTCCAGGATCACACCTGGGTTTGTCTGCTGGGGTCACCAACAAGGAGAGGGGCTGTCCCATCCCGGGGGATGCACAGAGGGCTGAGAGGGTGAAGAGTGATTTGGGAACTGCTCTGATATATTTGGGGGAATATGGAATATGGAATCCACCTGGGGGGAATATGGGATATATCGGGGTGGAATATGGGATATATCTGAGTGGAATATGGGATATATCTGGGTGGAATATGGGATATATATGAGTGGAATATGGGATATATCTGGGTGGAATATGGGATATATTTGAGTGGAATATTGGATATATCTGAGTGGAATATGGGATATATCTGGGTGGAATATGGGATATATATGAGTGGAATATGGGATATATTTGGGTGGAATATGGGATATATCGGGGTGGAATATGGGATATATCTGAGTGGAATATGGGATATATCTGAGTGGAATATGGGATATATTTGGGTGGAATATGGGATCTATCTGGGTGGAATATGTGTTTTCCAGGCACAAAATGCCTCTCTGGATCAATGACCAAGAGTGATGAGGAAGAAGCCTTGGCTGAGGGAGCAGGGGAAGGTTGTTCCCTGCCAGAACTCCCTGCACCCATTTCCAGGATGGCACAAATGTGGTAATTCCAGGGAATCTTCTCCTTTCCGAGGTTTGAAAGTTATGTGTCCAAGTGCAGAAGAATGAAGAGAGATCAGAAATGCAAATTAAATGTTTTGAGCAACACAAAATGATTTTGGAGGTCCTGAGGATGGTGGGTGGAAGAGAATTTTCTTTTTGTGAACTGCAAAACTGTGGGGTTTGTTCCAAGGCAAGCTGGAGCCTGAAACCTTGAAACCTTTGCTGAACTGAATTCCTGCTCTCAGCACGCTTCTCCCTCTTGGGGCTGCTGTCTGGACTGAAACTGCCATGTTTCCATCATGCTGCTCATGTCATGGAAGAGACCTGGGAAGGAAAATAAACTCTGGCAACTCAGTGGGGAGGGGGGGAAGAAGGAGGGAAGATGGGACCTGACAATCTCCCCAGAGCTCTGAGCGAAAAACAGACCTGGGTTGGCTGGCAGGGAGTGAATCAAACTCTATTTTTGCTTCCTAGCCCACGGTGAGGCTCATGGCAGAAATGCCAGCTCTCATCATACCTTGAGCCCCACATCCGTGCTCCCTTTGCCGACTGCAGATGGCCCGAGCCGAGGAGCAGCCGTGGTCACAGCCAGGGACACGCCCCGAGGGCACACGGGGAGGAAAAGCCAGCAAGGAGAATTCCCTTGGGGAATGCAGACCGTGGGTGCAGGCCATGGAGAGGAACTGATTATGTCCCCAAAGCAAACTTACAATCAATCAATCAATCAATGAATCAGTCACAGGATGGATTGGAAGGGACCTCAGAGAACATCCAGTGCCACCTCTGCCATGGGCAGGGACACCTCCCACTGTCCCAGGCTGCTCCAAGCCCTGTCCAGCCTGGCCTGGGACACTTCCAGGGATCCAGGGGCAGCCACAGCTGCTCTGGGCACCCTGTGCCAGGGCCTCCCCAATTCCTTCCCAATATCCCATCCAGCCCTGCCCTCTGACAGTTTGAATCCATTCCCCTTATCCCGTCCCTCCATGCTCCTATAAGAAGTCCCTCTCCACATTTCTTGTAGGCTCCCTTCCAGTTTTCCTTGGAAGCAACACTGGAGAGAGGAGCTGGAAGCCCAAAGCATCAGGTGTAGTTTGAATTGTTTTTGCCAATTGTTTTGAGCAAGAAGTTTTTGGCTCCGTGTGGACAAGCTCAGCCTTGTGCCATTCCTGGGAACGCTGTCACAGCTCCATGAGCCGGATCAGCTCTGACAAAGCACCTCAGGCTGGGAAGGTCAGCACCAGGCAAAGAGGAGACAGAACAGGATTCATCCCAAACCCACCAGCTCCAGCTGGATCAACACACAAAGAGACCAGGCTGGAGGTGTCCAGCTCAACCTTGAGCGAGGTTTTGGGTGTAGGCAGAGCTCAGTTCCTGTGCTGCTCCTGCCTGGAGGAGTCACGGCCACGCCCGGGAGCTGCATCCATCTGAAAAGGCTCGCTGGGGTTTTTCTGGCATTTCCTTGGCATCGACCAACACTCTCCCCAGTCATCCACTCCCCGTTATTCCCTGACCTTTCTGCACTTCTCCTGCCATCCAAGAAAACTCAGAGTGCAGGAGACCTTCAGGATGCCCTGGCTCTGTGTGAGCCCGAGCTGAGGAGATGAATCATCCACATCCCCATCCCACAGAAATGCCCTTTGCCCTCCATGGCAGCTCCTGGCAGCTTCTCCCTGCAGTAAATCTTTCCCTCATCTCTGCTCCATCCTGGGTCTTCTCCCTCACACCGAGTCCTTCCACAAGAGCCAGGTGGCAGCTTTTCATCAAGCAGGAGAATTTGACTGAAAAGTGGATTTTCATCCCCAAGGTATAGAGATTACAAAGATTTGGTTTTTATTAGGCTATTGGGAAAAAAAAAAAAAATTGGTGAAGTCCCCGCTTTGCTGCTTCAAGATCCTTCAGTTTAAGTAAAATCAAAGTGAAATCAAAATCAAAGCATTTCTGTTTAATCTCTGAATAGAAGAGACTCCATGAAGCAAAGTCATGTTTTTCTCCCCTCCCTGTGGCTGGAGCAGAATTTCCTTGGAGATCCTGCAGCCAGTGGGATGGGGACATGGTTTGGTGAGGCTGTGCCTTGTACAATCCCAATACTTGGGATTGTGTCCTCTGGGGGCTTTGCTGGGCTGTGACTCCCAGGTCCCTGAGCAAACCAGAGAGGATTTTGAAGCCCCCCTGCACATTTTGTATCCAGTCATGACCCTTTTAATGTCTCAATCCTTAAACCAGGCTCTCTCAGGCTGGGCTGGTGCTGGATCAAAGCATGCACAGTCCAGACAGGATTTTGGAGAGCGTTCTGGGCTCAAGGGGTTAAATCACTTCCCATTGCACAACAAATTTTCAAATATTCCAAATTCCAACAATTCCCAAGTGAAGAAGACCTGGAGACTACTTGTGGTGGGCAGGCCATGGCAGGAAGGGCACTCAGACACTGGCACCAAGCCCAGCAGATTTTTTTTTTTTCTCTCTGACTCAGTGTGAGCACCCTAACAAGCTTTGTACTGTGTCCTCCACGGGAAATAGGAATAAATTGGGAGAGCAGGAACGACATGAAAACAACTGAAAATAAAACAAGGAAGGTGGGGAACACAGGGGGTGTGGGTGGGACTGGGATGGGAGCGAGTGGGAGCTCAGCCTTGGCTGGGAGCCCATGAGGGGACCCCGCTGGGGCTCTCCCTTCTTGTTTCTGATAAAGAAAAATGAACACAATTTTTTTTTCCTTTTTTCTAAGAAGTCTCTACTGCAAGAGAGCCTGAAATTACAGAGAACTTGAAATTACAGATCTTTCCGTGGCTGAGCCACAGATCTGCAGCTCCAGCAAACCTTTGGGGCTTTTCCAGCCAGTCAATAAGGGAGGGCAGCCACAACCTGCTGCAGCACTTGACACTGCTAAAATGTGTTTGGGGACTTGGGGAAAAGCAACAGGAAAAGGCAACCTATGAGTGTTAATGAACGGTCAGGAGGAGAGGGAGCTGGTACTGAAAAAACCCAGCTGCAAACAACAGCTTTGTAAAGCAGGGAGGGCCCCGGAGCAATGAGCTAGAGCTCAGGGAAATGCTGAGGAAAATCGGGAGCTGTCCCACTTTTTCCCCCCTCAACAAGATGTGGGACAAGCATTGTCTACATCCCCACCCATGCACACCAGTCCTGGAATAGTGATCTGGCTCTAGAAGGAGCAGGGGCAGATCCATCCTGGCATTTCCACAAGGACCGGCCGTTCCGAGCTCTGGATGGAAAACATCTCCACCCTTCCCACCAAGGGCAGATCCCACTGCCCCTGCCCTTCAGATGGAGCTGGACTGGGGCTTTCCTCCCCTCTCCCAAAAGGTTTGGAAACTCATTTCTCCTGGGGAGCACCATTCCTGCCTTCCCTCCCACAGTTTAAGCGGATTTCAACTGGGGAGCTCTAAAGTTCCACAAGGACAGGAATACCATGGACCTTATTTGGCAGGTGGGGAAACTGAGGCACTGGATTTTGCTTCAACTTAAAACAAATGGAATTGAGGACATGGAGCAGAAATTCAGCCCAGCCCAGCCCATGATCCACCACATCACACAGCTCAGCTTTCCGTGAGATGTTATTCCCGATCTCCTCAATTTCCCATGCTTACATCTTTCTTCCACAATCTTCTCCCAATTTTCCATCTTCCCCTCACCCACCACTTCCCCCTTTCTTGCATCCCTTCCTCTCCATCCCCACCCTGCTGTGCCAGCAGCAGCCAGCTGTGGGGAGGTGCTCACCGACACCTCGGGGAGCCAAAACCAACACGTTCCACCAAAGATAAAAAATGGATTTAGGGACCTACCAGTCCACCTGGACTTCTATATCCCGTGTCTCTACCTTGGAGGGCGCATCTCCATTGCTGTCCTTACTGCTGCTCTTCAGCAGGTCCAGGACGGGCTCGATTTCTTTGAGCAGCTCATTGTCTTCCACGCCGCCGTTGAGACAGGAGTGACCACAAGCCCCATCCTTGCCCTTCCCGGCGTCTTTGCCGCCGGGAACAACACCGTTAACGTGGACCATGGGCTCCACCTCCTTCCCGATTTCCCTGCTCCACAGGGATCCCATGGCTGCTGGCTGGGGCTGCTCTTTGTTGGCGATGCTTGGATTGGACAAGTCAACCGCCTTCGGAGCCGGGCACAGGGGTCTGGTGACACGGACGGTTTTGGGCGTCCCGTCCCCTGTGAAAGTGGTCTCCAGGTGAGTGGTGAAGCCCTCGGGGCCGCGCAGGATGAGGACCACGTAGGTCTCGGAGGCGATGCTTCTCAGGATCTCCAGCGCCGTCTCATAGCTCATGTCCACCAGGGGCCTGCCATTGACGGCTAAAATGATGTCCCCAGCCTGGATGAGGCCACTCTGCTCGGCAGCCCCGCCCCGGATCAGGTCGGAGATGATGACGGGCGGTTTGCTGACGCGCTCCTTCACCAGGAAGCCGAGGCCGCCCACCTTGCGCTTGAAGAGCCTCACCGAGATGACGTTGGGCTGGATCTGCTGCACGCTGAACACATTCTCTTCCATGGCAGCCCCCTCCTCCAGCCCGCACTCCAGGACCTCAACACCCGCTGGGCGCAGCGAAATTCGCTGTCGGAGGCGCTTCCCAACGCCGGGCTGGGAAGGGACAACTCTGGCTTTTAAGGAGCAGGACTCACTGGAAAATTCCCCTGGGCTTCGGCTGCAGAGGGGCTTTGTGCGGCATGCTCGGTGGCACTGCTCTCCGAACAGGAGAAAACCGGGAATGTCACTCCTGGGAAGTGACTCCTGTCACTCCACGCTAAGAGCAGGGCGGGCAGGGCTGGGCATCGCCTGGGGTGGGAAACATTCCAGCTTCCAGTCAGCCGCTGGTCCTGGGCCGGGCACAGAGGGGGAGGCAGCCCGCTCGCTTCACCGGCATCCCCGCCGACGGTGCGCGGGCTTCTTTATCTGGAAAGGAGGGAAAAAAACCAACAAAGGAGGGAGATAAGCGAGGCAGGGCAGGCACAAGTGCCTGCTCAGCACAGGGCTCGGCACGCCACAGGCACCCCGTCCCCACAGATGTCACCCCCAGGGCTGCGTTTGGGAGCCAGGCTGAGCCTCGCAGCGCTCCGGGCTTTGTTTCCTCCACCTCCCCCTGCGAAAATCGGCACCATCTGTTGGGCGGGGGCCGCGGGGGGAGCAGGGGGAGCGGGGAGCCCTGGAGGGGCCGCTGGGCACGGGCGGTGCTGGGCAGTGCTGGGCAGCCGGGCGAGCCTGGCACTGCCCGCCCTGCAGGGCTCACACACACACGGGGAGCCGCGGGAGCTCGGCCGCGATTCCTGCCGGCTCAGGATCCCTTTCCATGCGTTTTCCAGAGCATCCAACAACCTGATGGGTGAGAGCCAGCCAGGGGACGGGCATCCCTGCCCGGGAGGAAACCTGTTCCGTGGGTGCTGTCACTCCGAGGTGGCTGCAGGAGCAGGAGGAGCAGCCAAGAGCACAAAGAGGGAAGAGAAGAGGCCGCTCAGCTCCCCTTTCCCAGTTAGAAAAACACTTCCAAAGGGAACTGCTTTTAAGGCTGGCTGCAGGGATCACCGCTCAGCTCCTCCTCTCCCCATATTTGCAGCCTGGCATGGGGAGAAGGAGGCGACGCTCGCACTCCCCCGAGCCCAGCCCTGCCATCCGGCTCCGAACTGTTCCCGCACCAACTGCTCCAGGAGGGGAACCGTGGCGAGGAGAACACGCCCGGAGCTCATCCTGCCCTCGGGGGAGCCTCGTGCAGCTGGGCACGGCTGCCAACAGCCCCCGCAGGGCTCGGGGAGTCACATCCCATTGACTCCTGATGGGACCCTTGTTCTTACATGGCCACGCTTGGCTTCTGTCACTTCTGCTCCCAAAGCCTCTCCGCGCTCCCCTCGCGTTTCTCAGATGCTCTGGAGAACGTTTTTCTCCACTACCGTGCCCTGACACTTTGCATCGAGCCAGCACCTTCTTTTCTTTTTTAACATCTGAGTTCTGGGCAGAGAACAGAGGGCACTTGTTCTGCTGGAGGCACTGACATGGCAAGGAAAACAATCTCCTCTCTCCCCATACTCAGGGCAGCGCTCGCACCTTCAGCCCTGCTCTGCCGGCAGCTCCCTCCTGCTTCCAGATGGGACAGGGCTCTGAGGAGCAGGGCAGTGACACCAGCGCCACTTGGGCACGTTAATCCTCATGTGAGGAATGCTGCTGACCCCAAGCTGGGCTTTTTAGCAGCGAATTTGGAGTAAAACAATTAGAAATCCATAACCCAAAACGATGAGTTTAACCCCTGGGGCCGTTCCCCTGCTGTGACTCGGCCCTGCAGGGCAGCAGCAGCAGCAGCAGCTTGCAAAGGGTTAAATGCCACTGGGTCACATCCTCAAGGGCTAATTAACGCCCTAATTGCCAGGTTACTTCCTGCAAATGACGCTGGATCAGGACCCCGGGATGAGCTGTGCCACCTCTCAGGGCTCGGGCAGCAGAGCAGGATAGGGAAGATTCCAGTTTTGGGAAAGATGGAGGAAAGCAGGAATTTGCTTCTACCAGACAGGTTGTGTCTCTTTCCTTCCCTCCTACCTCTCCATCCCCTCCCCATCCCGACCCCACTTTCAGTGGGGCCCCAGCCGAGTTTTCCCCTCTTTCCCAAGCTCTTTGGGAATCACTGCAGCAGCTCCCTTCTTGGATTTTCCTGACCCCGCTCCTTCAGCCCAGCCCCACTACAAGGTGACTGTCACCCTGACGTCCAGGCACGGCACTGAGTCACACCAAACTCATCCCAACGCCTCGGCTGACGCACTGGCACAAAGGTGGCTCTGGAAGCAGCCACGGGAGAACGGCACAGCAGCTTCCTGCGAGGGGCTCCTCACCCCGGGCCAGGTCTGTGTTTGCACCGCCTGGCACGGCTCCCCGCCACTGCCGGGCGGCCCCAGCCGCTCCCATGGGCAGATGTTGCACAGCTGGACGGGACCGTGGATGTCCTTCAGCGCCGCTCGACCTTACAGCGGGACTTGCTGAGCTCGCTGGAAAGAGCTGAGGAACCCCGGTGTTTAATCCCTCACTCTTCTCCTACCGGGATAATTTCCAGCTATTTCCATGGAAAAGCTTGTCATTTGTTGTGTGTGTTCGTCCCCAGCCTGCAATCCCATAGAACACCGGCATTTCTAGGGGCTCATCGTTCCCGGTCCCCAAACCCACCGACATCTCGGCATTCCTTACAAAAGGGATGAGAAGAAAAAAGTAGATTTTAAGTGATACTTCGACACCCATACAGGGATTTCTCCCTTTTTTCTGCTGCTCTTTAGAGTCAGGAAGGTGAGAAAAGAGCCAGAAAGGAGAGGGAGGACAGATTGGCTTTAAGCCCCTCAGCCTCCTGCTCCTTTAGGAAATAGTTGGATAAGGATTTTCACAAATCATGGCATCATTTACGTTGGAAAATAATCTTAAAGATTATTAATGATAATTATTGAGTCTGATTCTTTTCCGACTGGCAAGCCTTGCACAAACTCAGACTGGAGAGAGGAGGGAGAGGGAGAATTTCAGGGAGGCAGGAGACACCAAGAGTGCTCGAAAGATTCCCCCAGGAGGGTCAGGGCTCTCTTGTCCCAGCTCGGGGGTGTCCCAGGTCTGATTCCAGAGGGGACACACATTTCTGATGGGACCCAAGAGGTTCAACCCTGCTGAGTTCTGTGAGCCCACAGATTCCCAGCTCTCCCTCCCAGCACCAGGAGAACTCTGATTTATGGACCCCAGAGCCGGGTCAGACCTTGAAAAGCTACTGGAGGTGTCAGGTCTAACTCCTTAAAACAGTGAGAGCAGGGTGGTATTTCCCCAGGGTGGGAACACTTATTTCACCCCAAAAGAGAGCCAGGAGATGGCAAATCCATCAGCACAGCCAGGCTCAGCTCTCTGCTGGAACAAACCTCCACGGATGGTGCCACTCACTCCCTGCCCTTCCCAAAGCATAAACCCAACTCAAAGTGCAGGAGAGCAGCAAACCCTGCAGAGGGGCAGCGCCCCAGGCAAGCCTTTCCCCCGATCCCAACACCAATCCCTGGGAACATCCCCCCTGTGGAGGCTCTCGGGGAAGAGCAGCAGAGCCCGCTCCCCTCCGGCAGCGGTGAAGGCGCTGGCTCAACAAACACACCCGGATCACATTCCAAGAACAAACTCCAGCACAAATGTTAAATGGGATGATTTGATTCCCAAGGCAAAGCGGAGGAGAAATCAATCTTGGGAGATTGTTTAACACAATCTCCTCACCCTGCCGGGCAGGAGCCTCTGGCTGTGCCGTGCTCCACGCCCGCCCCTGCCGTGGCCACCCGCGCTGCCCTCGGCCTCACGAATCCATTTGGAGCCCTGTTTTCCCGGTGATAATGGCTCCTGCATTTCTGTGCCAGCTTTAAATGGGCACCGTTGTCCTCTTTAATTAGCTTTCCTGGGATTTACAGCGCTCGAGGAAGAACCCTGGCGTTGATGGATTTATGCCCATTTCATTTTTACGACCCACGGAGCATCGGTGGATGGGATGAGGAGCGCTGGGATGCAACATATGCACAGTTCCTGTAAAGCTGCATGGCTGTGCCTCCAAAAAGGAGCATGCAAGTGATTCCCTGGCAGGCAGCTCACCAGTGCCAGCAGTTCCATGCTCCATCCCCACCCAGGGCCTCCTTGTCCACAGCCTTTTAATCCTGGAAAAACTCAGACAATATTTCCCTGATGCCTTAAACTTTAATATTTTTCAGATTCTGTATGACATTAGTGTATAATTCTGAACTCTATATGGAATGCTAGTTAGCTTGCTTTACATTTTGGTCAGACTAAGCAATCCTTCTGGGCCTGGGGACCAAGGTCATCAACACAGCCCCAGGCCCAAAAAGTGAAAATTCACAAAAGTGAATCAGGGTGGAAGAAATCATTATCTGAAGCTATAATCGGACAATTAACCTCTGATATGCAGATAGACCAGACTGATATCCATCTGAGAAACTCGTGACCTTCACCCATCCTGGCTGTAGCCTCTGCCAGGTTTTGCACTTTGCCCAAGGTGTATCCTTGAAGGCCTTTAATAAATACCTACTTTATTCTTTTAATTCTGTCTGGCCTCTATTCTAGGTGGCCACACCAAGGCATCACCTCCAGCTCTAAATATCCACCTCCCCTCAGCCTTCCCAAAATCCACACAGGAAGGGCAAGACATTTTCCCTTCAGAGTCAAACGATGGCTCCGCTTCTCCCTCCCCATTCCCAGCCAGGCTGGTTGGGAATCATTATTCCAGCAGGGCTGGGACTTTGCTTTGCCCCCAATAAATCTGATTTCCACGAGGAGTGAGCAGAATGAGGCACTTTGCCATCTGTACAACGGCCTGGTGCCAGTGCCTGCTGACCTGAGCTGGACACCAGCAGCCCCTGCAAGGACACTGCCAAAGGGATGGAATGCCAAGGGCTCCACCCTGGAGACCCCCTCACCTCCCCGTGGCTGTCTGAACCCAAAACATTCCTGTTCCTGCAGGAAGAGCAGTTAATCAGATAATAGAATAGAAATAAATCCATGGCCAGACCTCAAGAGGGTTCATCTGCCTCTAATCAGGGCTTGTTTCCTGGAAAACAAACCACAACTGTTTGCTCGTGTTGGGATAAATCTGCCTCAAAGCCCCGGGACCTGCACAATTATCAAATCCTGGCACTGGGTTTGGTGTCCATCCCCTCTCCAGGGAATGAAACAGCCAAGGACAGCCTGGTCCTGCTGGCACAACAGCCCCTGGAATGTCGAGGCAGTTAAAATGATCCTTGCAGATCCCTTCCAACATAAATATTC